ATCGTGCGGTATTTCTCCTTCTCTGACTTGTATATTTCACTTAGCATAGTATCCTGAAAGTTCATTCCTGTTGCCACATATGATAGGATTTCCTTCTTTTTTAAGCCTGAGTAATATTCCATCATCTGTATATACCACAATTTCCACATCCATCCATTCGTTGCTGGACTTTTAGGTTGTTTCAACATCTTAGCTGCTGTAAGTACTGCTGCAGTGAACATGAAAGTGCAGATATCTCTTTGAGTTTCTGATTTCAATTCTTTTGGATTGAATACCCAGAGGTGGAATGGCTCTGTCACAGTAGATGTATTTTTAACTTTTTGAGGAACCTCCATACTGTTTTCCATAGTTGCTATACCATTTTACATTCCCACCAACAGTGTACAAGGGTTCTAATTTCTACATATCCTCACCAACAACTTATGATTTGTTTTTTTTGTTTTTTTTTTTAATTTATTTATTTGACAGAGGCACAGTGAGAGAGGGAACACAAACAGGGGAAGTGGGAGAGGGAGAAGCAGGCCTCCCGCCAAGCAGGGAGCCCGAGGCGGGGCTCCGATCCCAGGACCCTGGGATCATGACCTGAGCCGAAGGCAGACGCTTAACGACTGAGCCACCCAGGCGCCCCAACTTATGATTTGTTTTGACTTTCTTTTTGATAATGGCCATCCTAACAGGTGTGAGGTGATACCTCTGTTGGGTTTTAATTTGCAACTCTTATGATTAGTGATGTTGAGCATCTTTTCATGAATTGTTGGCCATTTATATGTATTCTTTGAAGAAATGTCTCTTGATGTTCTTTGCCCAATTTTTAATTGGATTATTTGGGTTTTTGCAGCTGAGTTTTAAGAGTTCCTTATGTATTTTGGTTGTTAACCCCTTATCAGATATATGGTTTGCAAAAAGGATCTTGTCTTGCTTCATCTTTGTAGTCCCCATGGTAGCTTTGTATTCCTGCAATATGCAGCATTGTTTTTTTGTTTTTTTTCTCCCAATACTTGGCACTCAGGGTATGTTTCTTAAATAAATGCAGTGCAGTTATCTGGTTTCCAAGTCAGCATCAAATTTAAAAGGCCAAGTGGGCCTTCCGTAGATGCACTGACAGCAGTGAGAAGTGACAGCTGAAGTGGAAGAGAAGAAGAAAGAGAGGCAAACTGAGGAATATAAAACTTTGCATGTATATACGGTCTCACTGACTGAAGCAGATAGGGTTGATAGGGACTCAACATGATTAATCTTAAATGCAAGGCTAAGCAAAGTTAGAAAATTCTAAAAATATAAGGACACAATTATTAGGGTGTTCTGCAAATGTCTTAATAAGTCTTGAAGTCAATTTACAAGTCTTACATAAGTAAGTTCTGTAAATTGTACTATGTGAGATTGATATATCCTCACTACATTTACAACTTCGTAAACTAATAAATACTCCTAAGGACGCACATTAGCTACTAAAGATAAAAATTTTAAATATATATTCATTTTGTTTAAAGAAATAGTAATTTTTAAGTATTGCCATTTAAACTACATGCCTAAATATGTGCTTACTGACCTAATCTGAATAATTCATTACCCAAGAATTATGAACAGCTAGTTTGCTAGAGTTGGTAGCATGATATTATTATAAATATACTGTTTCAGGTATTTGTTTAAAATTCCGAGGAAATAGATATTGTAGTATCTAATCATAACACTAGGTGGTGATCTGATTTTAGAAATTAAAGTGTGGAAATGTTTCTCAACATATGTATTCTTTGAACTTGAAAACATTTAGTGCTTAAACCTCAGAAGGAAGAGGAAGGAAAAATTAGTAAGGTAATGGAGTACCATTTTTACCTATTAGGGTTGCTCACCCGCACTCCCTTTTTTTTCCTTTGAATGCAATAATCCAGTGATTCACATGTTGTTTGGTTTCATGCCCTTGACACTTGTTTTTGTTTTGTTTTGGGTTTTGGTTTTTTGTGGGGTTTTTTTCGTGGGTTTGTGTTTGTTTTGTTTTATTTATTTATTTATTTATTTATTTTGCTCTTGACACTTTTAAAAATGATAGAAGATCTTGGGGCACCTGGATGGCTCAGTCGGTTAAGCATCTGACTTGATTTTGGCTTAGGTCATGATTTCAGGGTCATGAGATCAAGCCCCATCAGGTTCCACACTGGGCATGGAACTTCCGTAAGATTCTCTCTCTCCTTCTGCCCTTCCCCCCCAGGCTGTCTTTCTCTAAAAAAATTTAAAAAACAAATGATTCAAAATCCCAAAGAGCTTTTGCTTATATGAGTTATAACCAAATAATGTGCAGTATTTTTCTTCTTAAAAATTAAGACTGAGAAATTTAAAAAGATGTATTAACTCATTTTAAAATAACAGTAATATACCCATTACTTGTTAATATAAATATTTATAATAAGTAACTTTTCTAAAATGAGAAGAAAATTAGTAAGAAGAGTGACATTGTTTGTAAACCCCTTCAGTGTCTAGGTTAAGGTTATTAGTGGACATATCTGTTTATAGATTCAATCTTTTGAGGTAGAACAAACATATCATTTGGCCTCTGGAAAACTTCACTCTACACTCATGAAAGCTTAAGAGAAAAAAGCAATTAATGTTTTTCTAATGGAAAGCATTTTGATTTCATGTAGTCTCTAAAAGGGTCTTGTGGACCCCTAAGAATCCTAAAACACAATTTGAGAACTATTGTTATACCTCCCAAGTACCTGTAAGAAGCTAGTGAAAAAATACAAACTATATATATTATTACATACACATTGTTAATTTTGGACTTGCAAATCCAAAAGGTTCAACAACCAGTTCTTAGCTTATACTGTCTGAATGTTGTTATTTAAGGATACATAGTATGACCAAGAGTTGATGATATTACATTAATTAGAAAAATACAATATCTTAATAGAAAAATGGACAAAACATGACCAGATGGTAAAAAGGAAACAAAGTTATAAATACATTGTATTTACAATGGGCATAATTTTTAACCAGAAAAAAAATGCTTTTTAGAAATATATATGGACCCAAATTACTATTACATTTCCATTTAATTACGTTAGCTGAAAGCTAGTCTATAAAAGATTTGATTATCATTATAATTACATCTCTGTTGTGGAATAATCTATTCTTCATTTTCTGAGCTTTGTTCTTTATTATCCACATGCATGACCTCAATTCTCATCTCTCTGCTGATTCCCAAAGCTCTGTATCCAACCCTGACCTCTCTTCTGTGTTCCTGAGCCTTACTTCCAGTTGTGAATCCATCTCTAGCTAGAAGTCCTGAAGTTTTCTCCATCCCAGCTTGTCTAAAACCAAAGTCGTGTTCTCTCTCCATACCACTTCAGGACTTAATTTCCTTTACTTAACTTTCTTTTAGTTAATCACCATTTATCAGGTTCCCCAGGCTAGAAACCTTTAAAGAAAGGTTTGACATATTCAAACATTAAATACATAACTTTTCATACTTTGTTATTTCCTCCGCCTTGAATTTTCTTCATATTCTCTTCTTGGTGACCTGCAAATTCCTACATATGCTTAAAGATTCAACTCAAATGTTGTCCCATTTGTTTTTTTCTTTTTTAAAGATTTATTTAGGGATGCCTGGGTAGCTCAGTGGGTTATGCATCTGCCTTCGGCTCAGGTCTTGATCCCAGGGTTTTGGGATCAAGCCCCACATGGGGCTCTCTGCTCAGCGGGAAGCCTGCTTCTCCATCTCCCTCTGTGATCTCTCTCACTCTTGCTCTCTCTCAAGTAAATAAAATCGTTATTAAAAATAGATTTACTTATTCATTTGAGAGAGAGCTGGAGGGGACAGGGAGGGGAGAGAGAGAATCCTCAAGCAGACTCCCCCGTGAGTGCAGAGCCCCATGTGGGGCTCAGTCCCTCAACCTATGAGATCATGACCTGAGCCGAAATTAAGAGTTGGACACTCAACCTACTGAGCCACCCAGGCCCCCCTCACAAAAGTTTTAACTTCTGTCTTTTCCATCTGAAAAATGATTTCACACTTAAAAAAACAAATTCCAATATACACCTTCCCTAATATAGTAAGCAGATGTTCTTTTATCACAAGATAAAGTGTATATGGGGCACCTGGGTAGCTCAGTTGGTTAAGGGTCGGTCTCTTGGTTTCGGCTCAGGTTGTGATCTCAGGGTCATGGACTCAGCCCAGGTACCCCCACCCCACCCCTCATCGGACTGTGTGATCAGCATGCAGCCTGCTTGAGATCCTCTCCCTGTCCCTCTGCCCCTACCCTCTCTCAGGCCTGCTCGCTCTTGCTCTATCTCAAATAAATAATTAAATCTTTTAATATATATATATATACACACACAGTGTATACGTATATGTAAACAGAAAAAAGACACATTCTTTTCTTGTCTTGATAAACTTAGTCTTTGTAAGGCAGACACCTTGTTCCATTTGTCTTTATTTCCCAAATCTTAAGCACACTGTATTTGTTTATAGGAGAAATGGATGGTATCAAATACCCGTGTTTTAAGTATTGTGCAAGTAGGTTCACTGCTATACAGTGATAAATTTTACAAATAAAGATTAGCATATTTATTTGTTTAAGTCAAACTCATTCAAGTTGGCTGTTTTGCCTGGATATTATTAAGTATCTCTTCTTTATTTTTGTCAGTAATTCCTTGGGTTTCAGAGGGGACAGTGTCTTCATTTTAAAAGTTAAAGTTGAATATAAGGTTTTATAAAAATACATTTAATGTACATCTGAAGCATCACATCACCCACCACAAACATGATCTAATGGTATTTTGTAATAAGTAGTAATATAATGATAATTATATCATTTTAAATTTTTAAAGTATACTTTTGGGGAAATTATACTTTTGGGATAATTATATCATTTTAAATTTTTAAAGTATACTTTTGGGGAAAAGTAAAAATTTTGGTGTAAAATGTATATATGTATACATCTATATTTATATTAAGTAGTTTTCAGATTTATGTATGTTAATGCAGTACAAACTTTTTTTTGTAGAACTTCTTGGTATACATGAACAAGCTGCTGTAGGATTCTTAACATTAATGGAAGCTTTAAGATACTGTAAGGTAAGTTGATTTTTACAGTATTTTTCAATGTTTTTATTCACACCTCCACTGTTGTGGACAGTATTTTCTCCTATGATGACATGTAGCTTACTGCTTTTACTATGTACTTCTCAGTTCTTTCCTGATCTCCTTTCCTAAACTGACAGGCATATTAAGGGTAGAATTAAGTTGGCTGATCATGCCAAGTTTCCTCTTTGTGAGGTTTATTCCTTTCTGAGGGTAGAGGGCAGAGCCCAGTAAAAAACAGTTCATAAAAATAGACACACCATTATTGAAAATATATTTTTTGGTAAACCAGGGGAAGAGGATGTATTGTTTCTTCCTCATAATAGTATACTTCACGGAAACAACTGGTAATACTTACCAGGCAAAGAAAAAGAATTTGCTAGATGCCTGAAGTTTGAACTTTTGTCTTTTCCATCTGAAAAATGATTTCACACTTAAAAAAAGCAAATTCCAAGCATTTCACAGCATTAAATTCTTTAGCACATGGGCTAAGGTTAGGAACTGCCATGAACTTCTCATTTATTGATAAATATTTCATTGTTTTCCTGCATCATCTGAAATAACTATTGGATGTTCCAAATAGTTTTAAACGGGGTTCAAATCATTACACTTAATGAGATGGCCTGATTTTGGAGGAAGGAAGAAGTAGATCTAATTTTCTTTTCCATTTTAGAATGGTGGGTCCCTAGCAGTGGTTCAGGTGATGGTGATTTAGTAAAATAACGGTGTCTTGCCCTCTTTCTGTCTGTCTGTCTGTCTTTTAACTGGAAGTATTCCTCTTTCCTGACAACGCTTGGAAAGGAGTGATATGGGTATGATAATCAAATAGGTTTCATCCTGCCCTTATCCGTTAGTAGGGATCGTATTGTATCACAGTAGTAACTCTTTTATTTTTGGTGACTTTAATTTACAAGCTAAAGCTATTCTGAAGTAGCGTGGCAACCAGAGCATCAGGCTGCATCCCATTCTCCCAAGAAACACACACAAACATTCATCGATCCAAAAAGTGTGTGTGCATGCCTGGGTGCATGTGCACACACGTACAAATGATAACTACATAGAAGTGAAGACTATGTTAATTAACTTGATTGTGGTGATCTTTTCACAGTGTATACATATACAAAAACATTAAGTTGCACACTTTTAATATACACAGTGTTCATATGTCAAGGATATTTGAATAAAGCTGTTTTTTATAAAGCGTGTGTGTGTTTTGCAGGAGGATCGGGTGTGGAGATGATACACTGTGAAATCTTCATCGTCTGGCCTGTAACGCCCTGATCTAGGTCCTGTCTGTCCCTCTTCAGTTGCTTTGCCCTCTCCACTGCTGTGCTCTAGCCCTGCTGGTTTCCTGCCAGACTCTCAAACACACCCAAGCCCTTTCCTGCCTGATAACTTCATTCATAGTTGCTGTCATGTCTGCCTGGAATACTCCAGCTTGTAAATGGACAGCTCCCTCTCCCTTTCAGGTCCTACTTAAAGTGGTGCCTCAGAGACCTTTTCCTCAGCCATTCCTTCAGTGACTCTTTTTCACAATGTCCTAAGAATAATCACTCTGTAATGATCTTTTCTGTTTACTTATTTTTTTAATCTTGAATTTGCTTTTTTATTGTCATCCCCAGTGGATTATAGACTCTCTGAAGCCAGTGACGTTGTCTTTCTGGGTACATATACAGTGTTCAGTAAACATTTGTTGAATGAATGAATAAATGGCCGATTTCACCAGAATTGTAAGCTTTTCTAAATCATGTTTTTGCTTTTCTTTAGCTGTTAGGTAGAACAGGGGAATGCCTGTTTTCCTCCTTAGATGTTAGTGGGAAAACAGTAGTGGCTGTGTATTCTCCTATTACATATTGCTCTAGAGTTCTAGCAGTAACTGGTAGTTTATAAGATTTAAAGATTCTTTTAATGGCCGGACACAACACAGTGGTACTCAGATAGATGAAAGGCAGAACTCTCCGTTACTTTCACTTCCAAACAAGGGAGGGCTACCAGACAGGGCCACCGAGGGGATTATACCTGTGGACAGGGCAATGGTGAGGTGCGACCATAGGGGGCGGCTTTGGTATGGATGTTGGGATGGAGTTAGGTAGGTTTCATGGGCTCCCTGTGGATTAGATAGTTTCAGTGAGTTCTAAGGTTCAGGGGTAAATCTGCTTGTCTGACACCTGGCTCCAGGGCACTTAGGGCAATACAGAGTGGCCCGGAGTGTGGGAGACCTGGAAGGGAAGTGGTTGGGGTGGTGTGATACAGCTTTTTTGGAAAAACTGTGTTACACTGGTGTGTTCATCTGTACGTAACTGTAGATGTCCCTCTGAAAACCTGTAGACATTTACTTTTCACCGAACATTTAGAGAATAACATTAAGGAAATCACTGTGTTATTAGTTTTATGAACCTGAACATTTCCCGTTTTTTAATATTATAGCAAATTGCTCTTTAGAAATCAACATTTTCATATCATTTTGACTATATGTGTTCATTAACACAAATGCAAGTCTACACACACAAAATGAATGAAGAAGGTAAATGAGTGCTTTTGACTGCCCCCCCCCCCCCTTTTTGTTAAGATTTTATTTCAGGGAGAGAGAGAAGAGAGTGCTAGGGTGGGGGGGGGGGAGGGGCAAAGGTAGAGGGAGAAGCAGACTCCCCACTGAGCAGGGAGCCCAACACGGGGCTTGATCCCAGGACACTGGGATCATGACCCGAGCTGAAGGCAGACACTTAACCACCTGAGCCACTCAGGCGCCCTTCTGTGCCCTTTTTTTAATAGATAACTCACATACTATAAAACTCACCATTTTAAAGTGTGCGGTTCAGTGGTTTTTCACAAGGTTGTGCAACCATCACCACTTACCTAATTTCAGAATGTTTTTCTTAACTCTCACAAGATCCTCTAAACCCATTAGCAGTCACTTCCCCACTCCTCCCCAGCCTCTGGCAGCTTCATTTCTCTGTGGTTTTGCCTATTCTGGACATTTCATCTAAATGGAATCATAATCTGTAGCCTTTAGTGTCTGGCTTCTTTTCACTTAACGTTTTCAGTGTTTGCTCTTGTTTGAACATGTATTAGTACTTTGTTCTGTTTATGACCAAATATTCTGTTGTATTATATATCAGTTTTGTTTATCTGTTCATCAGCTGATGAACATTTGGGTTGTTTCTGCTTTGTGCTGCTATAAATAATACTGCTAGGAACATCCATGTATATAAATTTTTTGTGAACATGTTCTCATTTCTTTTGGATGTATACCCAGGAGTGAAATTGTTTGTCATATAGTAATTACATGCTTAACTTGCTGAGGAGCTGTCAGACTGTTTTTCCAAAGGGGCTGCACTATTTATGCACTCTAACTTATTTATATTAGTATAAGACACTTAATGAGTTCATTCATTTACCTTTTGATCCTACCATATATTATCCTCATATTTTACTTCTACCTTAATTAAATAACACACAAACACACATTTTCTAAAAGAGAAATTAAAGAACCACTAAACTTTTCACCACAAGAGGCTGCTACCACATGAGGAGTCAGAAAACCTGAGTTTTAATTCCCGCTCTGTACTAGTTACCTGTTTGAATTCAGACAAGGCACTGATCCTGTATATTTGTTTCTGATGTAAAATTGAAGGCCTTATGCTGAGCACCTCTGAAATCCCTTCTACTCTGAACCTGTGATCAGAGCTTTTCCTTTGTCTTTGTCCTTTGCTCTTACTCTCTGTTTTCCCCAAACCATCATCCTTCCTGCTCTCCTAGTTCACCATTGCCATCACATCCCACTCATCCTTCCCATCATAGGACAAAGATACTGGTGCTTCTGTCCATGAATACGAGAGAGTACCTATTTCCCACTTCCTAATGATTAGATAAATTCCAAAGAGCCATCGTGGTGGTTGAAAGCAGGGATCCTGTCAGGGCTGTTGACTAATGAGGGAAGAATGGCCCTGTTTGCTGCAGGTAGCCACTTGGCATTTCCCCATTCCAGGGAGTCTGTGTGAGAAAAGAAAATAAACCAAATTAGATTGGTAAGGTTGTTTTTAAGTTGTACTCTCTGTCCTCATAAGAGTATAGAATTGATTGATGTGAACATGATGGGATTTCCCAAGTCTGTTTTTTTGTTTTGATTTTAAACTTTCTCAGTCACACACAAAAATGAGACTCTCAAACTTTGGATACTGTGGTTTTTATAGATTAAATATATAGCCATGAGACAGGCTGTAAGTGTAACTTTTTGTACGTTGTAAGGAGACTTCATATTGTAGAACTTAGAACTTACCTCCAACCATGAAGAATCAAGTGACAGGATTCGTTCATATTTTTAAATATTTTGGACTATATATTTTGCTTTAGAGAGATTATCATATTGCCCTGGTTCTTTGAAGACAGGGTGTGCTTAAGGCTTTTTCCCTTTACGTTATTTATTCGTAAGTATATTCATTTGTTAATTTATAATTGCTCTCCTGATAAAGTAATTATCATCAAGTTTGTAGTTTAAGGATTTGAGAACAAAGCTGAAAATCTAGAAGTGGTCATTCTGTTTAGCAACTTTAGTAAAACCTGAGAATGATTCTTAGGGCTAAACTAAGTTTTTCCAGCTGTGTTAAATCTGTATTATTGTTACTCTGAGGTAAAGGTATGATATAAGCTTAGCCCTGGCTGTCTTTATAACATTGATTTTTACATTCAGCATTTGACCTTTATGGGTGAGGCATTCTGGCACAATACATTATTCCATTTAAGTATGAATTGGACACTTCAGTTATGCTTCTAATATTCGTGGGCAAATATTCAGCAGGCAGTATAAAATTTTCATTTGTTTATTTTGCTACCTTTGTTCTAGGTTGGTTCTTACTTGAAATCTCCAAAATTCCCTATTTGGATTGTTGGCAGTGAAACTCACCTCACCGTATTTTTTGCCAAGGTATGCTTATATAGCAGGACTTTTTTTTTTTTTTTTTTTTTAAGTATGACATCAGGCAACGAGTAATCTAAGTCCATATTTAGTTTGGATCTTTGTGCAAAATTCAGTGTATTCCTACTAACAAGTGGATTGTTCCAAAATCTAAAAAATTAATAGTAAAGAAAATATTGTTACACTGCTCTATTTTACAATTATTTCAGTAAACTCTGTCATGATTTAGTTATAATTTCTTTATCTTTTATAACTTTAGAGCTTTGGTTTTCAATATTTTTCAGAAATCACTGTTAAATAACTAAAAGTTTTAGAGTGCTCTTCTGTAGAGAGGTTAAGACTAATTTACATAATATAATTTTATAACATCTAGGAAAATATTTTTAAATCTATTAATAGTTCAGTGGTATAGGAGTGTTCTTTTAAGATGTAATAAATTCTACAGTTTTGATATATATATGGTTACAGTATTGACATAGATTAAATGCATTTGAATATGTTTATTTTCAAATTCTTAAAACAAACCTGTTTCTAAATTTCATCCTTTAATGATAGTATTTCTTTCTCCACATGGAGTGGTTAAGAGCTTTGGAGTGAGACAGACTTCGTTTGAATCCTAGCCTTCCCACTTCCAAATGTTGTTCAGCCTCTTTTCCCATGTCTTTAAAATAAGGGTTTCTGATAATACCTCACTCTTAGATTTGTCGTCAGGTTTAAATATAAAATGTTTAGCATTACCTAATGTGAGTTAAGTGCCCGGGAAATTTTGGCTGTTGCCATCATCATCCTCACTGCCATCGTCATTATTCTGCATTTATTGAACATGGAGTTGCTGATGTTGGAGTAAAGGGAGAAAATACAGAATTGTTTATTTTGAGGTTCCTTATGTCTAGAGGACTTTGCTGATTACCCCATGTGCTTTTTTAGATTGTACTTGTTAGTGTAATTTTACTAGTCTGAAAGAAGTATGACTCATATAAATTATACCAAAGAGTGAGCTGACGTGCTAAGTTGTGGGGATCTGTTTCCTCACTTATTACTGGGTTACTTTTAATGTGCTGCCAAAATCTAGTGAGTGGATTTAGAGCAAGACACGTACTTACCTTAAACATAAAAAGCTATAAAATATAACTCAAAAAGTACAGACTTCGACAGAACTACAGTAGTAAAAGTACTAAGTTAAATTTAGTCTGAAAGCTTTTGCTGTTTTAGAAAAGAAGTTAAAAACATAATGTAAACTATAAAAACTAAACAACTTTGAATTCCAGAGGGAAGATTTCATCAGTGACTAAATTTTGTGTCAAGTGTTCTAAATTTCCAGAAAAGAAAATCAGTTCCAATTTACATGCAAAAATGTAGTTTCAAGCCAATTATTATTTTTATCTCCAGCCCCATTTTTTTAGCACAGGAAAGCTAATAAATTCTATGAAACAATATAAGTTTCATATATAAAACATAATGAGATGAAAATATTTTAAATCTTAAATTTTATGATTGATATTTAAGAAATGAATTTGTTGTTAAGTATCAGAAGAGATTTTACAGAAGGTTAATGGAAGGAACAGTGTCAACTGAGCTATACACATACCCAGGCATTTTGTATTTTAGCATCTGTTAGGTCTTTTGATAGATACCTTCTTTTCTATGAAACATACACTTTCTACCCACCTGCTTGGTGTTCTTCGTTGTTTCCATAGCATTTGATCTGTTGTGCAATTGCATTTATCACACAGTGCATAGTTCCTACTTCCCATACCTTTTTTTGTGTGTCCAGAGAGCCTTGTGTAGGGCAGGGACCCTCTCACTCATCTTAATCACAGACCTCAACCACGTGCAACAAAACGTTGAATGAGAGATGTGACGTGCATAGAGAGAAAAACCCCTGTCTCACAGAACAAGCTCCGTGTACGCCTCCTAAGTCAGACAACATTTTCAAATCTCCATTTACTTGCATCCCTGGAGCTACCGATAATCCTGATTGGAAAATGCACAAACGCAGAAAGTGATTAGAAAGAATTTTATGGTAAGATTTTAGGGTCTTCAACTATTTAGGGTCTTCAACTATATAATAAGAATCACATATATCAAGTACCTTTTTTCTCTTTTAGAAGTCTTGACTTTATACTAATTGTTTTGGTACTTACCTTTGTATCTCTGGATCTGGTACATAGTCTGGCACATAGTGTAGGGATTCATTAGTTCAATGAATAAAGCCTGTGCATAAATTTTCCGTACTTGGGTTCCAGTGATATTTATATCTTCTAAAAATATTTTTTCATGACTCATTCTGAAGCTTCTTAAAAGCATGAGTACTTCCTCTTCAGTGTATTTTAAAACAACTGAATTTAGACTGTTTGAACATGGTTCTTTAAAAAGAGTTGCAAATAAAGAATTTTTCCCTTTGAGATAAAAGCTGGGAGATCACATAAGTAGTGAATGAGATCAGTAATGCTTCATAACATTTATTAGGTCCAGTTTAAAATTTTTTTAAATAAAGTAGTATTTATGTAGTCTTCGTCAGATAGAAAATACGTAAATTGTGCTGTTCTTTACATTATAAGACCTATTATTTGATCATTCTTTGATATTTCTATATTTGACCAAGTAATTTTGGCCTTGTTTTTGTTACTCAAAAAGTAGTCTAGAGGTTTGTTTTTCTTATTTATTTTTGAGTTTGGGTTTATTTCTTTTGGGGGATTCTCTCACTTTATGTTCCATGGCCTGCAACAAACAGGAGCATAATGTAAATGCTGAGGTCTTTTTCTGTAAAACTGATATGTTTGTATGGATATGTATTTCATGTGATGATCTCTTTGTGCTGATTATGATTAAGTAAAAAAGCATGTTTAAAGGTCACAATTTTCAAAGCGTTCTGTAATTTAACATTTTAAAATGCTTTTGGAAAGCAGTGCAATTCTTGATGTGACACACCGGAGGTGATGGTAGTTGCAACTGTCCTCCTTCGTGTGTATATTCATTTGTCAGAAATTTACTGGGCGTATAGTATGTGCCTGGCATTATGCCAGGTGCTGTGAAGACAGTGGTGAGCAAAAATAGATGTGCTTCTGTTCTTAAGGAGGTATACATTCTAATGGGGGAGGCATTCATCAAAGAATCACTTATAAAGCTATAAAATTATAACTATGATGAGGGCTGACAAAGTACAGGTCTATAAAACTCTTAAGAATGTATCTTAGTTTTGGAAGATTAGGAATGTTTCCTTGAAGAACTGATGTCTATAATGAGCATCAAGGCATTAGTAAGATGAAATTATGGGAAGAGGGAAAAAAGCCTTCCCTAGACAAGAAATAGGAGCCAAGGACTATGGTGGGAACAAACTGGAAGAGAAGAGCGGGAGCACTGAGGATTCGAGGGGCAAGGTGTAAGATGAGGGTACAGAAGCAAAAACAGGTCTTTGACTAGAAAGACTCTGTTCAAAGAGTAATGACAGCAAAAATCGGTTGTGGGAATAGTTTTGGGGGAAATAGGAAGGAAAGAAACAGGATTAAATTTGCATTTTGGAGATGACTATGGCTGATTGTGGAAAACAGACATCCTGAAGGATAACCTAGGGAGTGGGTAAAGAAGACTTTTGTAGTATTCTAGGTAAGCAGGGGATGTGGTTTGGCCAGGGTAATGATGGTAGACATTAATGGAAGTACATAAATTTGAGAGATCCATTCCTGTGGTAAACTGACAGGACTTGGTGACAGATTGGATTGGATAGATGAGAGTTAGAGAAAGCTAATGAGATGAGTGTTTTTAATGATTAATCGTAGAGTCTCAGAAAGAGCTCAGCAGCTTTGCTCTTGTTGAATGTACCCACTCATGATTAAAGCAATTTTTCATTGGGCTCGTTGACCCAGTCAAGAGTAAAGACTGAGACACTGTAGTTTGGGGTATCTCAACAAAATGGCCCAGCCACATAACCCCACAGTGCGGTTTACAAGCCCCACCCACATGGGCAATGCTTGGAATGCTTACATGAAAAACAGAAATCAAAGCAATAGGGGGAGTACGTGGATGGGTTAGCCTGGTGATGGGTATTAAAGAGGGCACGTACTGCATGGAGCACTGGGTGAACAATGAATCATGGAACACTACATCAAAAACTAATGATGTAATGTATGGTAATATAACATAATAAAAAAACTTAATAGGGGGAAAGGAACTCAATAAAATAAATTAAAAAAAAAAAAAGAAAGAATGGAGATAGTATAGGACAGTATAGGGCTCAGAAGAAAACTTCAAAAAACCAAAAACTGTAAGAGAAGTTATTATATCCATGAAATTCTGGAGGCTATGAGGAAAGAACATTTGACAGACAAACTAGAAACTGAAAAGTTACTGAAAGAATTGAAAGACAAATTGGAGAAATCTCTCCCCTAGATCGTTGGCAGTAGCTTCCTAACTGAGGACTATGCTGTTGCCCTTTGAGGAGCTATAGTATCTTCTCAATTCAGCAACTAAAATGGCCCTGTTAAAATGTAAGTCACTTCATGTTACTCTTATGCTCGAAACCCTACATTGGTTCCCCTTCATTAAGCATAAAAGCCAAAGTCCTTAGAATAACTTAGTAGGCCCTACCTCACCTCATCTGATTGCCTTTCTAATCACATTTCCTACTACTCCCCTTCCTGTCTTGCTTGGCCACGCTGATCTTTCCTCTAAGTCAGGAATGATGCAAGCCCTTTGCACGTGCTGTTCCCTTCGCCTAAAATGGTCCTGCCTCAGGTGTCTATATACAGGATTCTTTTCTTCCTTCAGGTCTGTATTCAAAAGTCACCTCCTTAGTAAACCTTCCCTGGTTACCTTTTCTAAGAGGTCAACCCCTTACTCCCCCCACCTTTTCATTAACATTCTCACAGATATAGGTATATTTTAATTGAGGTGAAATTCACATAACAAAATTAACCATTTTCAAGTGAACAATTTAGTGGCATTCAGTACATTCAGGGTGTTGTGCGACCACCACCTGTAACTAGTTCCAAAACATTTCCATCACTCCAAAGTAAAACCCCATATCCATTAAGCATTCCTTCTCTCCAGAACCCCAGTAACCACCAATTTGCTTTCAATCTCTATGAATTTACCTATCGTGGATATTTCCTATAAAAGGAATCCTACAACATGTGACCTTTTGTTGGGGATTCTTCCATTGAGTGTAATGTTTTTGAGGTCCGTCCTCTTTGCAGCACGTTATTATCACTACTTCAGTCCCTTTTGTGGCTGAACGATACTCTGGTGTATGCACAGAACACAATTCAGTTATCTGCTCAGTGGACATTTGGTCTGCTTCCACCTTTGGCTAGCGTGAATAATGCGAATGTTTCTCTACAAGCACTTGTTTGAGTCCCTGTTTTCAATTCTTTTTGGTAAATATTTAGAACTGGAATTGCTGGGTCATATGACAATTCTATGTTTAGCTTTTTGGGAAACTGTTTCCACAGCAGCTACACCATTTTACATTCACATCAGCAATATACAAGGGTTCCAACACTTGTTATTTTCCTCTTTCCTTTTTATTATTATTATAACCATCCTAGTGAGTGTTAAGTGGTCATTGTAATTTTGATTTGCATTTCCCTAATTAGTGACTAATGATGTTCATCATTTATTTAATATACTTTTTGGCCATTTGTATATATTCTTTGGAGAAATGTTTATTCAAGTCCTTTGCCTATTTTTGAATTGGGTTGTTGGTTTTTCTGTTATTGAATTTTAAGAGTTTTTAATATATTCTGGTTTTAGGTGCATACCATATATTTGTTTTATATATCTGTCTTTCTCTGAAGGCAGGATTTTTGTCTCATCTCCTGCTGTTTTCCACTGCCTAGAACAGTGCCAGACACAGTGTTGGTGCTCAGTAAATTTTTGTTGAACAAATGAATTCCAGAAAACACTGAAGATTTTTCTCAGCAAAAACTGTGATATAACCATGTTGGTATGTGAATAAGGGGGAGAGATGGGGACTTAGGAATACTAAGTTGTCTTTGATCGTAAGAATTCAATAGATCTCTAAGCTTATAAATCAAGAAATAACAGTTAATGTATTCAATATCTATACGGAGACTAAAACAGAAGAACTCGCTTTTGCTCTTCTGCCTTATCAACTTGAATACACATACAGATTCTTTCTCCAGATTAGTGAATAAAAACAACTTTGATGAGTATTTATAAATAAGCATTGTCACATATACTCTATCATATTTAAAATTTCTGTTCATGGTTTGAGGATGGGTAAGAAAATTGTTCCTATTCAGTAAAATAAGTTTATAGTTTATTTTAAAAGAGGTGTAAAGTTTGTGATTTTAAATTTGAGTGCCAAACTGTTTACTTAATAAAGTTACCCAGATATTTGAGATGTCCAGTGGCCCAAAATAAAAAAATAACTTTTTTATTTTATTGGAACCCTCTTCCTGACCCATGGAGATCATTCAACACATTTTGTAGGGTAGGTAGAGATTTTTCACAATTCAATCTTATTTGAAAATCAATGGTAAAAGTAAATTTAATAATTGACTTTTTATGAGCAGCTAAAACTTCAGATTATAACCATCTTTTTTATCTCCTTTAAGTTTTTAAATTTAACTATCTGCCACATTTTATAAATCCTTACTCTTCCATCTGACTTAGACAAAGTGATCTTTCTTCTTATTAAACCTCTGTATCTTGGAAACAACAAATATGATATTGTACTCTTTGATGTATCTTAGAGGATGTGGTTGCAAAACATACATAGAAGCCATCCTGTATAAGTGGGACTTTTATAGGTTATGTGCTATTGCTCCTCAATATTAACTGCAGGGATCGCATAGGAACTCAGATTCATCAAGCAGCAGGGGTCCCACAGAACTGTGTAATAAGAGGATGTGGGTGAAAATGGACTTCTTCAAAGAAGGAAACTTAATTTCCATTAAGTAGGGTGGAGAATTCTCCAAGCAAATCATTTGAGCCATGACAGAATAAAATTTTCAGATCGGTACATTGTGAGAGAGTGTGCCTTATAGGTATGGGTAGTATGTTAAAAGTCATCGTACCATGCTACTTTTATTTTTAATTCAAGTACCATGGTACTTTTGATAAATTGAAAACTTAAGAACTTACTGCACAGGTAAAAGAAATGATTTTGAGTAGTAGATGCTTGAATACAGAACCTATATTTTTAAACTTATCTTTTTTGAATCATTTCCCTTAATTAAAAAAAAAAATAGCTCTTATTGTTAAAATAGTCTGTGTAACATTTTTAAATAATCTTTTAGGAGTCAGGTCTTTTCCTACTGAAACATATATACTTTAAATGCCCAAATATCACCTGACAGAATATTTGGGCAGTTGTCTACTTACCTTTTTCTTCTCTCTAACCATCAATTTTCCCTTTGATTTTTTGTCTTCCTTTTTTTATATTTTGGTTTTAAGATTAAATTATTTGGGTCATTTTCATTATTCCCTCGTGAATTGGAACTAATTATGAAATTAATGTTTAGAGCAAATTGAAGATGAGGGCTTTATGTTTGAAAATACACTTTTGATTTTGTTAGAATTATATGTGTATAAAGTAGACAAAATAAATTTGTTGTTTTTGTTTTTATTGTGCATTTCAATCTCAATGTGGGATGACAGCTGCTGGTTCAATATAAAAATAGCTGGAACTCACCTATGTAACATCTAGTTTCATCTTCGGAAGATCGGTGACTAATTTCCCTGGTAATCCATTTCATACTGTCTTTTGAAGTTGGAGGGATGAGTTTTACATCTCTTTTTGTTCTCTTTTATGGTTATAAAAAGGACTGTGTGTGTGTGCAGAGTATCACCTTTGACCTTTGCTGTGATAAAGCAGTTTTCCTTTTAGGTAAGAACACATAAGATGAAAACACATGACTGTTGAAACTCAGAATATATAAAGAAACTGAACTGAATGCGAAGGAGGAACAAAACATGTAACTGTTCCTGCATGAGCTGACTACTCTTATGGTGGTATCTGTTACTGGGAGTCTGTTTAGAATTTTTTCTCCAGGGCAAGCTCCTTTTGTGTGTTCATCCTTGGATGTAACGTTAGGAAGACTACTGTGATTAAGTGTTAGGTTTCTTTTTTTATCTGTTTAAAAACTGGACAGCCCTACTTGACCATTAATACATTTCTCTACATGTCATAAACACAATTTTAAGAAAAAGTGAAACAATGCTTTAGAGACTTTGTTATAAAGAAAATTCAGGCTCTGTGTGTCTTTCCTTGTTGGGTCAAAGTCGTGGAACGTGGAAGGCAGGTTAAATTCACAGGTGGGCATTCTGTAACATGTAGAATGTTGCAGTTTGCTATATTAATGTAGTTAGTCACCCCATCCATTTATCTTAAGTAGATTTGTGAGTCTGTGCTTATGTTTCAATGTCATGCCTTCTCTACTATAGAAAAGAAATGGATTTGAGACCTAAAGTATTTATTTTTATAGTTAAAGTCATAACTTGTCATGTGTGCTTCTAACACCTATCCTCTAACGTAAGAATAGCATCTGGTATTTGAACGACTTGGAAAGTTTGGGTAGAAGTCTACATAAATTAACAATTTTCATTTATTTAAATTATTGAAAAACTGTGAATTTTTAACCACAGACTGCTAACTGCTTAGCACACTTTGGAGCTAACCCTCATCAGCTATCTGTAGGGTTATGCCAAGGATTTGAGCCGTCATAAATTTTATTTTTAACTGTTTTTATCAGAGATGTTTCAAAATATATTATAAATATTCTTGCCTCCTTAAAGTGACAAATTGCTCTTACCTTCTCTTTCATACTACTCTGAATGCCCTTAGGCAGCCGTTTCTGTGTCTGGTTTTTATTTTTAGGATTTTGCTTGTTAATCATGTCAGTCATGTCAGCCTGCTGACTGAAGGCCATCCCTCTTTCCCTTTCAATTTGTTTCTAATATTTTTTTGTGACAGTAGTCATATAATTATCCAAACAAGGTAAAATATCATTGATAAAAAGGCCTACAGTAGGTGTTCTGTCATGAGTTTTAATTAGAATCGGTGTTGATAGGTTGACATCTCTAGGTGTCTGTCTATAATTGATGGAAATAATTGCAGTAGATACACTGGCTAGCAGAATAGAGCAAAAGGTCTTAATGTATATAATGTATGATAGTGTTAGCAAGTTTGTGATTTTATTTCTCTGTGTTTTTATATATGTCACCCTCTGCCCAGAATGTGACCAAAATCCTGCTCATTATTCATGGTCCAGCCTTGATGTCTTTTGTGTTTTGACTCCTGCTTCTCTTACTCCCTTGTTGCCCCTAAAATTTCTTCCAGCTTTTTACCTCCTTGTGATCACTGATGTGAACTGCGCTTTACCTGTTTTACCACAGGACCCAGTATAGCTACCATTAGGCATTGTACTAAGTCCTCTTGAAGTGCAAAGATGAATGATGCGGTGTAGTAATTTTCTGTTTCCGTTTACTGAGCGGCGCCTGTGTCAGGCATTATGCTAACCATCTTGCATGCATTCCTCATTTAGTCCTCAGGGCACCCCTGTGAGGTAAGTACCGTTTCTCATCTACATTTTCTAGCCTGGGGCCAGTGAAAAATAACCTCTCCAGAGTTATATACTAGTGAGCGCCGTAGCCTTTCACTTTTTCTGTCCCTTAGGATAACAAAAAACAAATAATTACACAAGGGTGGAATAGAGACTGGAAGAGGGCAGAGGTGAGTGCACAGGATATGATACTTGAATTAAAGGACATGATAAGTTTTTGACTTAATATGAAGTAAGGGCAATATTCTAGGCTTGGAGAAAAGATAAAGCGAAAGGACGAGATGGGGGATGTGACAGTCCATGCTGTATTTGGGGAATAGTAATTGGTTTGGTATGGCTGAACCATACTGGTTGTGCTAGAAGACTAAGAAGGAAGCAAAGGTTGGGATCAGATATGGGACCAGCTGGAATAATCCTTTATTCCCAGACCATCTTCACCCTACTGTGTCTGCATGCTTAGCTTGATATGGAAGGCTTAATGTGAATTTCCAAGGCATGAATGTAAAGCATGTACATGAAAGTAGAATAACCTTCGTAACGAACAAGTAGAACTTTTCCGTAAAGCTCTGATAAAACTTAAGAGTATTAGAAATTTGAATATTGTGACTATTTTTCATAGTCAAACCCTGTTTCAAATAATATAAAGGGAAGGATTTGTGGGCGAGGGAAGGGTGTATGGTCAGGGTTGTCCCTTACTTTGCATTGATAACTAATGCAAGCCTGCCAAGCTTAAATTACATAGTGTTATATGGACTACAGTGTAATCTTCGTAGGCATTCATTTTCATATGAAACGTAGAAAGTCTATATATGTGGAGATTCCCCTTTATGCAGCTTACAGTATTACAATCAATGTCAGAGGGTATACATGAAGGGAAAGACAAGAGGAAGAGGTAGGCCAACTATGAACAGGAAGAGCAAATGTACATGTGGCGCAAGCAAAATAAAGCCCCAGCCAGAATATGAGATTTTAATTCCTTTTGCCAGTTTCTTGAAGTAACAACCCTGAAATTCCAGTGATTTATTCCATATTCAAGAAGGAGGCGGGCACCTGGGTGGCTCAGTTGGTTAAGCGACTGCCTTCGGCTCAGGTCATGATCCTGGAGTGCCTGGATCGAGTCCCGCATCGGGCTCCCTGCTCGGCAGGGAGTCTGCTTCTCCCTCTGACCCTCCCCCCTCTCATGTGCTCTCTCTCTCTCTCTCTCTCTCATTCTTGCTCTCTCAAATAAATAAATAAAATATTAAAAAAAAAAAAAAAAAAAGAAGGCGGCAATGAGAGCAGTCCATCCCAGGCAGGAGGGATATTAGACCACTAGAATTATTTAGATTTCCCTGCATGTGTTGGTGATTATGAAAGCATTTCAATAAGGTGAGTTTTGTTATATTTAAATCCTCTACAGACAGTGCACCCCATATTTGCCTATACTGGGTACACTGCTCCCACCATACCCCTTCTCCCCAAACACACACCAGAGCTTATTTCTCTCTTAGTTTACATGGTGGCTGCAGGTGTGTTCCATGTGCCTTCTTCATTCTAAGATCTGGACTGAAGGTGCAGCCTGTCAGAAATGTGCAATTCTCCTGGTAGAGGGAAAAGAGAAAGACACTTGGCAAAGCCACAGGTGGGCACTTCAAGCTTCTAGGAGCTAGCAGAATGTCACTTTTGCTTATATTGCTCTGGCCAAAAGAAGTCACCTGGCCAAACCTATGTCAGTGAGGGTAGGAAGTAGACCCCTCCCAGAGAGGTACTTCACAGCCCATAGCCACAGGCCTTGATAAATAATCCTCTTACAAGGCTGGGAGATGCAAGAAATTGAGAACAACAATACCACCTAGCACCATAAGTTACTCTGTGTCCAGGTGTTTTAACTGAATTTAAAACGATTCAAATGATAGAGTCTTTACTTAGAAATAAGGAGGAATTTTCTGATTTTTTATCCAAGTGATCATTGAATATTAACTTAAACCATTTAAAGAAGTCGGAAAAGAGGTTTTCTTGAATTATGTAGGTATTCATGTGCGGAGAGAGGAATGGCTTAGGTTAGCTGTTCTCTTCATGAAATTCAGTAGTTGAAAGGCTAACAGCTTCTTCACCTGCTTCTTCACATAAGCAAGAGAACACAGAAAATGATTATAGATAACCCAGCAGAGTCATTACTCAAAGCGTTAGGCCTTAGGGATGAATTCTTTGGCAGAAACCAGTTGAGAAAGGCTAGGATTATTAAGGTGAGTTGTATAGTTACGACAATAGGGAGAAAAAGAAGCCCGTTCATTAGTATTAATAATAGTAATGATTCTAATCATGTCCATTGGAGATTTCCTCCTACTGCCGTATTTCTGCTTGTACATTTAGAGTGGTTTTTTTTTGGAGAAAGAATCTTGAAGGGCTTTTCTTTATGTTCCTTCCCTGACTTCTCTGCTAATGCAACACAGATCAGCACTACACAGCAACGGGCTGTTGTGGAGAGAGCCAGGGGCTTTTGCCCATTTTGGGAGAAGTAATGGAAGAATAAGGAAAAAGTCCACTGTCCTAGCTACTTTCAGTTGACGTGGCACTACCTGAATTGTTTCTGACATTTGCACTGAAGAGTATGATGTACTTGAGAGCATTTGGTAATTGATTTAAAATTGGTTTCGTAGTGATTCCCAAAATATTTCCAGAAATGTAGTTAGTGAGTGTGAGTCAATATGAAATATAAAGTGACTTTAAAGCGAAACATTACTTAAAGCTTAAAGGGAAATTAGGTACCAGTTAACTTTTTTCTTTTGAAGAGCTCTTTGTGGCACTATGAAATGTCTGCGAGCTAAAATGTTATATGTGTGTGATCATTCCTGAAGTTAGGTAAAACTCTCACAGGTTCTTTGATTACTTAGGAGATTTATCTTGATAATGATGAAAGGTATAATGAATAAACTTTAAATAAGACCTTTTTTCAGTCATGAGCTACTTATACCTAGCCAACGAACTGAACACAGGCCTGCCTTATATTTCAGTAGGTGTTTAGAAGGATAGCTAATGTTACAACATTTTAAAAGGTTTATGGTGAACAGCGAATAATTAGAGGAATAGTGCAGACAGAACTACATGAAAAAGAGATACTTGTTTCATGACTATAGGATATTAGATAGTCCCATTACAGCTTGGCTTTCTTTTTCCCCTTCTCTTCTATAGCACTTTGTCAGTTAAGGAAAGTTGGTTGGAGCTAGATAATTTTAAAAAGCTATATTGTTTAGCAATCCCTGTTGGCCAGTAAATTGGCTAAATTGAAATTGTTTGTTCTGACATTCCTCTGATAAAAGTATCTGATGATATTTGACCAAGTAGAGAACTACTTTTAGAGTAAAAATAATGTTGATGGTAAATCAGAGTTTAGATAACTAAAACACTAATAACTATTAGGTTTAGTATCTTTTCCCAGTGGAGGTACCTAAAAGAGTTTCAGATGCAATACCCATGGAAATTTTGTTCTGCTTAATAAAGCTAGGATAAAGAAAAGAAAATGCTTACAGCTAGCCTTGTTGACTTGGATAACTTGGAATTACATCATTAGAAACTCTGTTTATAACTCAGTGGTTTTCAGAGGGCAGGGGGTTGATGTATGTTTGGATTTTATTTTAGGAGGTAATTTTCTCAATACTGTTCATCAACATAAGCATATAGTAGCATATTTTTCTCTTTTCCATTAGATTGTGACCATAAACATACAACCTAGGTCTTTACCATTTAACAGGCTTGCCAGCCAGTATTCAGAACATTGTGGGTGTGTGCGTAGTTGTATGCAAAAAAATGTATTAAATATATAAAAGCTATTGCTATATGAAGTCCTAGAAATGGAAACCTGAAAGGTAAAGTTCTCGCATTATTCCTCACACTACAACTGTTACTGAGAGTTCTCTTTAACTTCATCCTTTATGGTCAGCGACAAAAATAGAGCAGTTGTATCCCTCACTAAAATATTTTGTCTTAAGATTATAAAGGACACTTTCTCAGTTGAATGAATTCTTTACTTCCCATTCAAACGTGCCATGCAAGTATGAAATACATTTGACATTTAATATATTACCAGATTCACCACATGGATCATTCTGTTCAAGATCCTTAAACCAGGAACCTTGTTCAGAAGTCTTTAAGTTAAATAAATTGGCCAAAATTAGTGTTGGTATTTGTCATTTTAAATCAAATTGGAAAGTTAAAGTGTTCAACATGGAACACTTTAATGGGAATAGGTAGTTTTATAACTTCCCCAGATTTCATCCATAAACATTTAAACATTACATAAACTTAAACAACCTTTAACAAAACATCATTTTCTATGATAATCTAAAAGCGTTGTAAACAGTCAAAATAGGCAAGCCAGTAATCAGTTGGGAAGACTATACTGGCTTTGATTTGTGGATGAAAACTTTTGGAATGTTTTCATTGGAATTTAATATTGGGGGGTGCTTTTCCTTTTCTTTTGTCCCTCTAGCATAAACACATCCTAAAATGAGTGGTATGATTAAAAACAGTTAATTTCTAAGGAGTTTAGCCAGTTAGCTATTAGTATATCATTGAGACAAAAGGAGCAAAACAAGATTTAAAAAAAGATCATGACGTAATTTACTTTATTAGTAATCACCATTACAGTTGCTGGGTTCATTATGTGGAACCTGACCAGTGCCATTGGGTTTTATTTTGGGAGGAGAAAAGGAATTTCTCTTGAGGTAGTTCACATCTGGGTTGTTTGCTCACATCCAGGGTTTGGAGCTACTTATTTTACACTTCTGAACTTCAACCACAGTTCCTTTCTGCAGTCCTCCATTCTGACATCTTTAAAGTAATCTGTCCTCCGTTTCTGTGTCTCACCTCGTAGGTTCTCCAGCCCTGGCCTCCTCCAGTGCTCAGGTCCTGCTCCCACTGGCCTATGAGCATCTTGCAGTTGGCAGGCATGGAGTGTTCGTAGTGTGCTCAGCATTAGGAGAACTCCATGTGCTCTATTTGGATACATAACCGTCACCTCCTAATCCCTGGTGTTCACAATCAGACTCATTCTTTCATCAAGGCTGATTTCCCTTCCTCACTGCGGCTTTTCTCACAGTTCTAGTCCCCCACCCACAGCTCTGCTAATTCCTTCCAGCTAGGATTCCCTACCCTCTTTTGAGCTGAGAGCAAAGTATCTTCTTCGTAAAACTTGTTAAGGGACACCTTTGTATTCCCAGATGTGTCAGAAAGAAGGATGTTGAATATAAGTGCCAGTGCACTTGGGGAAATAATATATTCTCTACAGCGTGGGGCAGCAGACTGGCCCACAGGCCAGACGAAGCCACCAGCTAGTTTTGTAAAATAATTTACTGGAACACATCCATGCTTATTTATGTATTATTGTATTGTCTTGCTGCTGAGATCATATGGCCCTATTTACTCTCTGGCCCATTACAGAAAAAGTACGCCAGCCCCCAAATGTTCTAAATGAACATTTGTTAAACCAGAGTACACTGGGAGTTGTGCCCAAGCTTCAAATGATCTTCTAGATCAGGCCAGCATATATAGCCTGTTCAAACAAGAATAATACATTTTCTAAAGCCTAAGTTTTTTTTTATGTTCATAACCAGAGGTAAGCGATATGCAGTGAACATTTCATTAAATCTGTTTTAATTCTTCTCTACGTTAGCATATTTTTTTATTTATTGCACTTAGAGCTTAGAGATAAGGCATCAGGTAGTTCACTTTCAGTTCTTTCACGCACCTGCATTTTCTGACATATTTAATGCCAGAGAATTTGATGTAAGCCTTTTTCTGTGGCTAACACTGGACTCTTCCTCGTTAGCTCAACAGTAATTTCCCAAAATTTCATTTTGTAAGAATATTAAAGTAATACTTCAGCTGTATTCTTTGCCCCCTCTTCCCCTGAAAAGATTTTCTTTTGTGACCGAGAAAAACAGTATTTCCTTTCCCTTTATTTAGATAATTCAAAGTCCTGTTTTAACACCCATTTTAAGCTTTTCCTCATCACTTACTAATAACAAAGGTTGAAATGCAGCAGATGGTTAATAGAAAGAATGTATCCTCATCTTGGGCCAGTATAAGTTTACCCTTGGGTAAAATCTCATCTGCAGCTCTACCTTCTCCTCATCCAGAATTTTAGTGACAAATCCCCAAATTCCAACAGCCATGCTAAAGGGAAGAATCGAAAAGAAGTGGGGTTGGAAATAGTTAAGAAAACTAAAGCTTACAGTGAACTACATGGAGCAACTTTTGTAATTACAGTTGGAAGTGATAAAAGTAGCTAGGGGATCATAATAATAGCCCCAGTGTTAGTAATTGCTCCCTAAATCAGAGAGCTGACAACATGGCAATCCTAGCGTCAATACGAAGTTAATTATAGGGCTAAGGCCGTACTGGTGATGTATTATAAAAAGGAAAGAATGTTTAAGAAATACTATTTTAAATAGGCTAAATAAACATAACCCAAGAGTCTGGCATTATCAACCCAAATTACAAATGCATTCTTCCTTTGACCCAGCAGTCCTACTCTGGTGCTCGATCCTACAGATAAAACTGTGCATGTATGAAAATTACATGTTCAGGTTTATTTGGTGCGGCTGTGTTTATCACAGCGAAAGATCAGACATTGTCCAAGTATCCAGCAATGAAGGACTGGGTGATAAAATCAGAAAGGGTTTGAAAGGCCAGATGAAAACATGCCACTTGACATGCAGTTATCTGCAAAGTAATATTGAAAGTGCAGGGAAAGGAGACCCTAAAAGTTGCTATCAAGGGATAGTAAATGGGAAAGAATTGTACATTCCCAAATTTTACTGTGTTATAAAATAGCACTTTTTAACTTTATTATGTGAAATATGTGTAAGGGCTTGCATCTGTTGTTTTCCCGTTTCCATTTGACTTCTATTTCCATACAAACTGAAGCACCTCGTCTCATCGTAAGAACTACACTAATTGATTCTTACACTTTGTTCCTTCATCTTCAAGATAAAGAGGGGGGCGGTGATTAGGCCAAAAGTTACTATAAAAATTTATTTCCACAGAGGAATAGCATTTCAAATTGTATTTAACAGTTTTATCCTATAACTTGTTAAAGAGGATTCAAGAAGGTAAAAGGGGATAGTTAGAAACTTGTTCTCTAATGAGGTTTGTATGAGTGAACACAATTTTAGACAAAAGCTCAGGCCAACGCTACGAATAGAGGAAAACAACTGTAGCTCAGAGTCTAGATTTCTATCAGTCAGATAGAATTTCGTAACAGTTTAAATATGTGGAGCAAAGGTTTGTGAAGAGTCTAAGATAACATTGAATTCTGTGATTTTTTTTGATAAATTGTAATATTGCTTACTATGCAAAGAAATTAGTCGTGATAGAGAATTTTATGGGAAAAAGAAATCTGCCTTCAAGATATTTCCTCTGAGTTAAGAAAAATTAAACTTCTGGACATGCAAAACTTGATTATTGATCTGTGGCTAGGTATTGCTATAATAGGTTTACCAAAGTAATAAATACCAAATGTATTTCTGTGTAATTGCTTGCTATCATATCTCTGGATTTAATTCTTAAATATTTGAAAACTAGATATATTGTAAGTTTTATTTCTTTTTATTTGAACAACGATTAAAGCAAAAGTGTAAGTCATTACTTTTTGCAGGTTGCATTTTTATAGTAATTATTTAATACTAGATTTTCCACATGTTTTTATATAAAGCTTCAGTATCATGCTCACAATAATTGCCTGTGGTTGCACTATTATTCCCATTTTTCAAATGTCCAATTAAGGCCCAGAGAGTTTGTGACTTACCTAGTCACACACATCTGATAGAAATATCACTCAAAATCTTCTGACTCTCGATTTCCTAATTTCCTCACCCTAGCCTCATATTTGTTCTGTTTATTTTTAAGGCCGTGATATTATTGTGGCTGGTTGATAGCAGGCTTTTTTTCTTTTCAGGACATGGCTTTAGTTGCTCCCGAGGCTCCTTCAGAACAAGCCAGGAGAGTTTTTCAAACCTATGATCCAGAAGGTAAAAGATTTTCTTTTATTATCATTGACTCGGTGTTTTATATCTTTATATGTTTGAAATGGATTGATACCTGAGTTTTATTCAAAAGTATTTTTGGATTATTGAATAAAATGTAGGTTGCATTTCTTGAAAATTTTAAATTGGAAACGTAAAAATGGGAACAAATAAGGATGCTTAATGATTGTCAAATTCTCACATGGTGTAAGGTTTGCAGGTTTCTTGGGGTAACAGTTATGATTACTTGCATCTTGACTTCTGAAAGTCTGCGTTAAACAGGAAAATATCACCTTCTAAACAAGCTTTTTGAAAAGGTATTCCTTTATTCTGTTATTCAAATTAATATTAAATAAGTCTTCCAGAATACTTTTTAAAATTGAAATAGACAAATATTCTGTAAATTGTGGGTATACAAAGTGTTGCTTTGATAATTTATATATTACAGAATGGTAATTACGGTAGCATTAGCTAACACCTCTGTCATGTCACATAGTTACCATTTTTCTGTGGTGACAAGATCTAGTCTCTTAGCAACTTTGAAGTTTATTTATAGCACAATATGTTATACTATAATAACTATGCTGTGCATTAGCTCTCCAGAACTTATTTATCTACTAGTTGCAAGGAACATCTTAAAACACCTCCCTCACTAACCTACCTCCCCAGCCCCCGGTAACCATCATTCTTCTCTTTTTTTTACAAATTCAGCCTTCTTAGATTCCACATACAAGTGACATTGTGCAGTATTTCTTTTTATTTGTCTGACTTATTTCACTTAGCGTAATGCCCTTGAGGTCCATCCATGTTTTTTCAGAAGGTAGGAGTTCCTTCATTATCATGGCTAATCAATATTCCATTGTATATATAGGTATATAAACCACATCTTCTTTATCCATTCATCCCCTGGTGGACAGGTAGGTTGTTTTCACATCTTGGCTGTTGTGAATAATGCTGTAGTGACTGGGGTAGTGCAGATAGCTCTTCAAACTATTGATTTCAGTACCATCAGATAATACCTACCACTAGGATTGCTACATCGTATGGTAGTTCTGTTTTCAATTATTTTTTGAGTAATTTTTTTTATATGTTTTCTTTAGTAGGTGTACCATTTCATATTTTCTCTAGCAGTATATACTGGTGCTCTTTTCTCCACATATGCATCAACATTTACCTCTTTGGATAAAAGCCATCCTAACAGGTGTGAGGTGATGCCTCATTGTAGTTTTGATTTGCACTTCCTTGATGATTAGTGATATAGAGTATCTTTTCATATGTCTATGGGCTATTTGTTGTCTTTAGAAAAATGTCTCTTCAGACCCATTGTTCTTTTTTAATTGGATTATTTTATTTTTTGCTAGTGAATTCTGTGAATTCTTAAGGGGTTAACGCCCCAAACACATTATCAGATAGAGGCTTTGGGAAGATTTTCTTCCATTCTGTAGGTTGTCTTTTCAATTTGTTGTTTCCTTTGCTGTGCAGAGGCTCTTTAATGTGACCCCACTTGTTTATTTTAGGGGTTTTTTGCTTGTGTTTTGATGTCTTATCCTAGAAATCACTGCCAAGACCAATGATGAGGGTTTTTTTTCCTATGTTTTCTTAGAGGAGTTTTACAGTTTCAGGTCTTACATTTAAGTCTCTGATCCATTTCAAGTTAATTTTTGTGAGTCATATAAGGGGTCCAGTTTCGTTCCATTTCATAGCCATCTCATGGAGATACCGAGTTTTCCCAGCACCATTTATTGAAGAGACAATCCTTTCCTCAGTGTGTGTTTGTGGCATCCCTGTCAAAAATTAGTTGACCATATATGAATGGGGTTAAACCTGGGCTCTCTACTCTGCTGAACTGGTCTATGTGCCTGTTTTTATGCCAGAACCATACTCTTTTGATTATTATAGCTGTGTAATACAGGTTGAAAACCAGGTAGTATGACACCTTTGGCTTTATTTCTCTTTCTCAGGATTGCTTTGGCTATGCAGTCTTCTGTGATTCCAAACAAATTTTTTCTATCTGTGACAAATTTCTTTGGAATGTTGATAGGGATTGCATTGACTCTGTAGATCGCTTTGGGTACTATGGACATTTTCACAGTATTCTTCCAATCCAAGTATACAGGATACCTTTCCATTATGTATCATCTTTGATCTCTCATCAGTGTCTTCATTTTTGGTGTATATGTCTTACATCTCCATGGTTAAACTTATTCCTAAATATTTCATTGTTCCAAAGCTATTGTAAATGGGATTGCTTTACTTTCTCTTTCAGCTAGTCCGTTCGTGTATAAAAATGCAACTGGTATCAGTACGTTGATTTTGTATCCTGCATATAAAATGAAACCATTTATTAGTTCTAACAGTGGTTTAAGGGAGTCTCTAGAGTTTTATAAGATCATGTCATCTGTATGAATGCCTTTTCTTTCTTTTTCTTACCCAATTGCCCTGGCAAGGACTTTTTTTCATCATTGAGTATGATATTACCTGAAGGTTTGTCATCTGTGCCCCTTATTACACTAAGGAACATAACCTCTATAAGAAATTTTTTGAGCGTTTTTCTCATGAAAGGATTTCCATTATGCCAAATGCTTTTTCTGCATATTGAGATGATCATATTTTAATTTTATTAATGTGACATGTACCACATTTATTGATTTCTGTATGTCAAACCATCCTTGCATCCCTGGAATAAATCCCACTTGATCATCATGTATGATCTTTTTAATGTGCTGTTGGGTTTGGTTTACTAATATTTTATTGATAATTTTTGCATCTGCATTCATCAGGGATATTAACCTATAGTTTTCTTTTCTTGAAGTGTCCTTGAAGTGTCTGGCTTTGGTATCAGGATAATACCGGCCTCATAAAATAGTTGAGGAGTATACCCTCATCTTCAGTTTTTTTGGTACACTTTGAGAGGAACTGGCATTAATTCTTTAAGTGTTTGGTAGATTCACCAGTGAAACCATCTGTTCCTGGGCTTTTGTTTGTTAAAAGGTTTTGGATTACTTTGTCAATCTCCTTTTTGTTAGTGATCTGTTCAGATTTTGTGTGTCTTCATGATTCTGTCTTGGTAGGTTATATATTTCTAGAAATTCATTTATTCTAGGTGGTCTAGTTTGTTGGTGCATGATTGTTCATAATAGTCTCTTCTGATACTTTCTCTGGCATCAAGTTGTAACGTTTCCTCTTTCGTTTCTGATTTTGAGCCCTCTCTTTCTTGGTGTATATAGCTAGAGGCTTGTCTGTTTTTTCCAAACCAAGCTCTTAGTCTCATCTTTTCTATTGGTTTCCTGGTCTCTCTTTCATTTATTTCCATTCTGATCTTTGGTATTTCCTTCTTTCTGCTAACTGTGGACTTAGTTTGTCTTTGTTTTCTAGTTTTTTGAGGTGTAATGTGAAGTTGAGGTCTTTCTTAAACTTCTCTTAAAACTGCTTTTGCAGCATCTCATAGGTCTTGATATGTTGTGCTTCCATTTTCATTTGACAATATTTCTTGATTTTCCATTTGAGTTCTTCTTCGACGCATTGGTTGTTCAGGAGCATGTTGTTGAATCTCCATGACTTTGTGAATTTTCCAGCTTTGTTACTGATTTCTAATTTCATACCTTGCTGGTCAGAAAAGATATTTGGTATGATCTCAATCTTCCTAAATTTGCTAAGACATTTTTTGTGATCTATCATGTGATCTATCCAGGATGTTCCATGTGCACTTAAGAAGAATATGCATTCTACTGCTGTTGAATAGAATCTTCTGTATATGTCTAAAGTGTCATTTAAGTCCACTGTTCCCTTACTGATTTTCTGCATCGATCATCATTGTTAATAGTAGAGGAATTCAATACCCCACTTTTATTTCATTGCTGTCTAAAATTCTCCCCCGTGTTAAGGAGTGTTTACTAAATTGAGGTGCTCCAAAATATGGTACATAAAGGTTTACAATTGTTATATCCTCCTGATGAATTGATCCCTTTATCATTATATTGTGACCTTTTCTCCTGTAATGGTTTTTAACTTAAAGTATTTTATCTGATATAAGTATAGTTAGCCCTGTTCTCTTTGGTTTCCATTTGCATGGAAAATCTTTTTTTGATCCCTCTGAGAGTTTTTGTAGGCAGCATATAGTTGGGTTTTGTTTTTTTTTTAATCCATGTAGCTACTCTTTTCATTGGAGAATTTATTGATAGGTAAGGACTTATTATTGCTATTTTCTTAATTGCTTTCTGACTACAGTTTTGTAGTTCCTTTCTTCTCTTGCTGTCTTGTGACTTGATTTTATAGCAGTATGCTTTGATTCTTCATTTATTACAGGTGTTTGCTCTGTGATTACCGTGAGGCTTTCATCGTATGTCTTACAGCCATCCATTTTAAGCTGGTAACAGTTTAACTTCAGTTACATCACAAAGTTCTGCCCATTTATGTGCCGTACTCATAATTTATTTTGATGTCCCAGTATACATCTCTTTATACTGTGTATTCATTAACGTATTGTAGCCATAATTACTTTTAACACTTTTGCCTCTTAACCTATATGCTAGAGTTCAAAGTGATTTACACACCATTACAGGGTGTGAACGTTTTGTTTTGTTTGTTCATTGAGGTATAATTGACGTAAGACTATTTCAGCTGCACAACATAATGACTGTGTATATTGTGAAATGCTCACAAAGGTTTTTTTCTTGTGGTGAGACATTTTAAAGTCTATTCTTTGAGCATCTTTCAAATATGCAGTACAATATTACCTGTAATCACCCTGCTGTACATTACATCCCTTTATTTTGTAACTTGAAGCCTACACGTTTGACACCCTTCAACCTTTACATTCTCTATCCCCTACCACCAATCCTGCCCCAAAGCAATAAGTCTGTTCTCTTTATCTGTGAGCCAACTTTTGTTTTTAGATTCCCTATGTAACAGAGATCACATAGCATTTGTCTTTCTTTGATGTATTTCACTTAGCCTAATACCCTCGCCTTCCATGATGTTGTAGAAAATGGCAAGATTTCCTTTTT